CGGCGGCAGCGGCAGGATGGTGAGCGGGGCGGCGGGGCGGGCCGGGACAGACAGACAGACACACGGGCAGACAGACAGCTCCTGGCAGGGGCCGACAGATAGACAGGTAGCTCCTGCTGGGGACAGATATGCAGACAGGTAGCTCCTGTCCTGCACCAACAGCTGCGGCCGGGGACAGACAAGCAGCCCCTGCTGGGGACGGACGGACAGACAGACGGGCAGCCCCTGCTGGGGAGGGACAGACAGACAGACGGGCAGCCCCTGCTGGGGACGGACAGACAGACGGGCAGACCCTTCTGGGGACGGATAGACACATGGGCAGCCCCTGCTGGGGACGGACAGACAGACAGACGGACAGCCCCTGCCGGGGACGGACAGACAGACGGGCAGCCCCGAGAGCAGGGGCTGAGCGCCGTGCCGTGCAGGGTGCTGACCCGCAGGCTGCGGGGCGCTCGCACCGCACCGCACCACGCGGGGCTGCTGCGCTCTGCCGGCGCTGCCCGGCCGCTCTCCCTCTCTCTCGGTACTGCCCCGCCGGTCTCTCTCTCTCTCTCTCCCGGCGCTGCCCGGTCCCGGGGGCTGGCGGGGCGAGCGCGGCACGGCCGGGCCCGCGGTGCCGCAGCCGGGCGCGGGTGCTGTGCCCGCGCCGCAGCGCCCGGCTCCGGCCGCGCACAGGGCACCCACGGCCGCCCCGCCTCGCTCCTTCTCTGCAAAACACCTCCGGCTGCGTGCTCTCCCGTGCTGAATGCTGGGGAAACGCTGAGGAAAACGCTGCGCTGTTTACTGAGAGATGTAATGGCTGTCCAACATTGCTTTCTCTTTAGGCCGTCAAGCATTATTCTTCTCTTGCAATATAGTAATTAGCAGAGCAATCTGAAATACAAAAAGGTGGCGTTTGAAAAACCAGTACATCCTCTCCATGTTCATATATTTGCTTTTGCAGTATGGATTTATAAACACGTGCCTGAAGTCTTTGGTGGTTGAAAAGTATGGTGAAGAAACGTGGGAAAAATTAAGGTAATGTGTTCCCAATAAATGTAGTGCATTGAAAGTGCTCAGGAATTCAGCAGCAGGAGACAGAATTTCTTATTGGTAAATGGTAGCTGATGTGTATCTCAAGTAATTATTAGGAGTAACTAAAAGGGCAAAAGCAAGAGTTTCTTGCCTTGTAACACTTCATCCTCTGATACTAATTTGTCCCAATTAATTTGTCATATCAGATAATTAAAGATGACATTTAGTCTTATAGACAATTTTGCAATAGACTTGCTGGCTCACAGTGACAATATTGAGAAGTAATTACACTGAAAAGATGTCATCCTTAATATAAAGTCAGTTTAATTGCAGTACTCAGAAAAGCATCTAAATCAGAATCATAGATCATCTGGTTCCAATCCCCTTGCCATGAGCAGGGAACCTTCCACAAGACCAGACTGATCGAAGTCCCATTCAATCTGGCCTTGTTATGGTTTGTCTAGTTTTTATGAGCTATAGGGTATTTCCAAGATACATAAATGGTACTTAGATGCCATATAATCCATCCACCATATATTATCATCCATTGAAGCAAATATTAAAAAAAAAAAATCAGCAGGTTTGGGAAGCCCCAAGAACTTGATATTGTGGCCACATTAAACAGAAAAACAGTAGACCAAAAGACAAACTAAGACTCCACTTGTTCTAGCACCCCACAGTATGATGTCCTAATCCTTGAAAGAGTTTACTGTAATACCATAATGTGAAATAGCAGAAATAGCGAGGTGGACACCACCATTCAGCCATGTAAAAGTAATTTAATTAATTTAAAGCACTTTAATATTAAACTTACATCATTAGGTGGAGTAGTGTGTTCCAATATAACGCTCGAGGGAGGTTGAGGAGTGCATTCACAGCAAACAGTATTTAGGAAATGCCACTTGGGTCACCCAGGCATGTTGTATTTACAGCACTGCTGAGACAAGAATATTGTCTTCTCTGTTGTAGGCTGCAGGCTGGAGTCCAGGATTCTTTCTTGACTTTTGAGGTGTACAAAGATGAGATCACAATGCAGCTTGTCGACAAAGCCTGCAAAGTATTAGGTATGTGTTAGCATGCCTCAAAAATGGATCATCCTGGGTCAAGCCTGAGACTGCAGCCCAGGTTTTGTCTCCTGTGCCCTTGGGAATGCCTTCTCTATATTGCAAATTTTCTGCCTTCAGTCTTAATCCACCTGACAGCATTGCAAGAACTTCCAACCCTTTCTTATTCCTTAAGGTATCTTTATTTTGCCAGGTGTTCCTGCTGACATTGTTCTGAGGGAGTTTGGAAAGTATTTCTTTGAATTCTGTAAGCGCTCAGGCTACGACCACATGCTGAGGACACTGGGTGGAAATCTCTATGAGTTCATAGAGAACCTGGATGCACTGCACAGCTACCTGTCCCTTTCTTACCAGGCAAGTCTGGGTAGTAACTGCTGAGCAGGTCTGCATGGACTGTGCCAGAGTTCACAGCACAAGGAACAGCACCTCATAGGTGTGAATAAACAATTAAAACAATCACCAAAGCATGTTCTCTTCTATGTTCTGAAACAGATTACTCTAAGTGTTAGGATAATTTCTAAAAATGATTGGTTTTGACTAGTCCTCAACATTAGATATTATTTTCTACATTGGCTGTAATGCCTAGCAGATTTTCTTCACAGGTGAGAATATTTAATTTTCTGTTTTTCAGCTTATTTATATTACAGTTTATATTAAGGCAGACATGCTTTTGTACAAGTGGAATTCATCAGTCTGCTTTCTGAAAAAGTAGACTTTTCCAAAAAAAAGATATTGAAGTTTTGTTTTTGGTTTTGTTTTTTTCCTCAGGAGATGAATGCACCATCTTTTAGAGTAGAAAAAAATGAAGATGGGTCAATGCATTTACATTACTATTCAGACAGAAGAGGTCTGTGCCATATTGTGCCAGGTAATGAGACTTAATGCAGAGTACAGATCAATGCAGTATGTGTGCAGAGTAATCATATATTTGCAGGTGCACTCAGAGTTCAGTATCTTTTTTCAGATGAGGTCTGGCCATGGAATTGAAGCCTGGTAAAGTGTCCAGCCTCTGAACTCATTATTTCCCTGCTGCCTGATCACTCCTAGCTCCCAGTAAATTTCATCAAAATTTGATTAAATTTTGGGTATGACAACCCAGTCCATAAATGTGCATTCGTGCTATAGAATTCCCTCCCTGGAAGAAGAATGCAAGTTCATGGTGTGTTAATGTGAGAATTAACTGTTTATTAATTCTCAGTGACTAGTGCTTTTTAAATGCCTGTGAGGTAGAAATTCTAGTTGAGTTGAAGACATTCATCTGCCTTGTAGTACATCCAGTCTGTGAAACTCCTACTGAACCCTGCTCCATACTGAATCTTTTACCAGCATTTACCAGCATCTCCAGAGCTGTGCTTATGCAAGAATTAGAGAGCTATAGTTCTGTAAGAGATGATCATATTCCTTTCTTTCATAAATGATGCTGAATTTAGAAGTTCATCAAAACTTCTCCCTTTGTCAAAACTTATTTGATATTGAAAGCACAGAATTATTTGGAATTTTAGACAGAGCTTTTGATGTCATTTTGATGTCCAGTATTTTGCCTAATACCTGACCAGAAATGAGAGAACTGATTGTGCATCTGCATGAAAGATATTTCCTTCCTTTCAAAATACAGTATTCTTCAATGACTGAAATAGATTGTATAGCAGAATCTCTTTAGACTCCCTGCACACTTTGGGTTGATGGGAATTCATGTCATTGCTCTATGGCTACTTGAGCACATTCTTCAGCTATCCTGCTGAGCTGCTCCTGGTGAAAATCAGCATTTGTCCTCAGCCAAGGCAAAAGCAGCATAACTTTGAAGCTGACCTCCTGTGAGCATATTCTCATCATGGCAGCTGTAGCAAGGACGACGTGTTGCTTTCTTCTTCCAGAGTTTTTTGGGAAAGTGATTTCTGAAACAGTGAAATTCCACTGGGGGCCCTCTAAAAGGGGAATTGAAAAGGTTTTGTTCTTGGCAATACCTTGTCTTTTGTTTCCCCTTCAGGAATCATCGGTGCAGCAGCCCTGGATTTTTTTAACATTGAGATTTCAATGAAAATAGTCAATCAAACAGAGGAAGAAGAAAGAACTGGGAAAAAAGAACATATTGTTTTTCTTGTCACTCAAAACCCTCTATTTCCGTGCAAGGAAAGAAATGAATTTTCTTCCTCATCTCGGTGTCTTGTTGACTCTGAAAAACAAATTGAGAACCAACTGAATAAAGAGGTATTTTAATATTCATTATCATCATATTACTAAAATGTATTTAAAATAAAAACACCCTTGAATTTCCCTTTGGATTTATTTCAACAGGACCTTGAAAAAGCCAAGAATGCAAATGGAGACAGAGGAAACTCTGTTTGTCCTGTTAAGAAAAGTCACTGGAAAACATTGAGAGGAATAATCACGTTAGGAAAAGGTGAGAGATCATTCAGAGGGAGCTCGTCGTCATTTCTGAGTCTCTTCAGCTAGAAAGTCAGTAAGCCTCCCTATCCCCACCCACCCATCCATTTTGAAGTTACCATTTATATTTCCTCTGCAACTTTTCAAAATGTTTCTGGTTAAGTTTCTTTCAGTTTGACATTGATGAGCAAAGAAAAATTGCAGATAATAAGCATGCTTAGTAATGACAGATACTTAAGTGGAATATGACCTGTCACTTTTGTCTCTTAAACAGGGCTTTCATCTGAAAAGCGTTCTTCTATAAAATGCCATTGTGTGGTGAATTTGATTCTTCATTCTCATGTCAGTTGGTTTAAGATGCTGAATTTAAAAGTGTGTTTTTTAACTTGGTTACTACTCCTTTCCAAAATTATCAACTGTAGTAAATTTTGAAAACAAAATTACATCCTCCACTACCAAAAGTCTCCTGCTAATCTTGTAATCTCTGTTCTTGCCTTTATATATTAGATGTTTATATATGTTTATAAAATGGAAGGAATTTTTCAGTTAGGATCTTTTGATTCCCCAAAAGGAATAAGAATCTAGCTCAGTATTGCCAAGATGTCTGCATTCTGGGATGAGTGAAAAATAGAACCTGGTAGCACCTGGTGCAGTGTCACATGCGTTACAAGGGCAGATATACTAAGTAAGAAATTAATATATATTTAAAATAAAATTTTAGACTAGCACTATTACTAAAAACAAAAAAAAATTCTTTAGCTAAAGGTGTGAGTTACCAAGAGCCAGATTTTGATAAGTTAAAAACCCACACTGGCTTCCCCTGAAGCAGTAAGAGGTTCTAAGTTTGCAATATTTTGCACCAGTCTCCTGAGTGACTTGAACATTTGTTCTCAGCAGAACGTACTGGAGTAACTATCATAGCTACCTTCAGGGGGAAAGAGATCACTGGAAGGAATCATCTTTTTGATTCTGGTGGGTTACTGGGAATCCAACTTTATGCCATGAAGATCAAAGGTTTTGGGATCTTCACTCAAAAAATGAGCTGTTTTGATATTTTACCCATTGTATTCCTTTAACAAAAATATCTGCTAGTAAGCATACACTACTCTGTAGATTTGTGACCCTTTTGTAAAAAACCTCAGGGTAAGTAAAATAGAAACCAAACAATAATTCTGTCTCTGTTCTATGGACATTGTACGTATGGTTTATTGTACAGGAGACTAAAACCCAGATCACACTGATTTTTTTCTCTTAGTGTTCCTTAGTAGCTGGCAAAGTGTATTAAACCCACTTCTGTGCACGTTTTTGTGGGATGTGCCCGTGTTATATTGCTATGGCGTCTGCAGATTCATGGAGAAGTAACATCTACAGTTGTTCATCTATTCTTATTTTTTCTACATAATTTCATGCATCTAGTGCTTTGTGTTTTTTGTGTGCTTAAGTTTTAAACACTCAGTCAACTCAGATTAGTTGGTAATCAGCTGTGGATTACACTGCAGAGCATTTAGCACAGATGGGGGCACATTTCTGGGCCCATGCACTGTTTGATTTGTCTTCACTGACTGTGATATAGGGTCCTGTCTCACTGAGTGGTAAAAAGTCATGCTGATTGGTTTTATGAAGTGCAGCCTGATTTTAAATCTACACATTTGTCTCGCCACAGGTAAGCTCCTGAGAGGATTTGATCCTGTTTATCCCAAGAGCCTCTGGATTGACACAAAAACATTTTGCAATGGACTTCCTTTTCATATGGTTTTTGACAAAGAGGTAGGACAGGCATGTGGTCAGGGCCCTTAGTTTGCATAAACCTCAGAGTAATTTCCCTTTGTTTTGACTGTCCTACAGTTCCCTGCTGCGTGCTCTGTGTGCGGTGCACACTCACAGGATTTGCAGAAATACTCTGTTCAGAGACATGCTCTGTGTCACTGCACATAGGGATCTCCTTTGAATTCATTGAGTTTGCATGTCTGAAACATCTGCAGATATGCCAGCAAGGTTTATTGCAGCAGTCTATCTGTCAGCAAATAGCAAGCAGAATTTTTTGAGGTTTCTGATCACCTTCCTGTCCCTGGATATACCAGAGCCATGTTCCATCCTTTAAACTGGCTTTGCATTTGCAGTTTCCTGCTCTCCCAGTTACTAATTTGTCCCCAGGCTTGTCCCAAGCTCCTTGTGTTTCCTGAGTCTACTCCTACATGCTTCTGCTGGGAAAGCCCAGCCACCTACTGCATCAGGCAGCATGCAGCCCCTCTGGGACCCCCAAATCTCTTTACCTTCTGGGGCAGGACTGTCTCCTCTCCTGGTCACACATCCTCTGCAGCCCTTGGCAGGGCTGCCCTCTGGCTGCTTCCCAGCTCGCCTGGCTTCCCACCAAGCTACAGGTCCTCCTGCTCTGAACCCTGTGCAGAGAATATTGGCTTGAGACAGGAGCAAAGAAGGGAGAAGCTGAGGATGGGACAGCAGAAGAACACTGAATCCATTCCCCTCAAGGAACACGTTTTGGCATTGTGCAGGTTGAGATACCAGAACATATAATCTGCTTCATGGCATTGCCCACATCAGCCAAAATAAAGAGTCTTAAACCTTTCAAGAAGGCCAGTATGCATAATTTAATAAAATTACTAGTGTGCAATGAAGAGAAGTCCTACACCCATTACTGGTAGCCAGGTCAGAGCTTCAATAACCAATGACAAGCAGAGAAGAATGTTTCTGCAGAATTTAAGAGCTCATGTATGGTCAGCAGAGGAAAGGAAAATGACTAAACCTTTACACTTCGTTAAGAGAAAGTAACCCGTGGCATCTATTAGAAAATTAATATTTGCCAAGCCATTTTATGCCACAGTTATTTTCATTTTGGAATACAGGACGCTCCAGTATCTCAAATTTTCTCCTGCAAAATTCTCAAATTTTCTCCTGTAAGGCTGTTTGTGAGGCCCACACAAATGCAAACAGTGATAATAGCAGGTAGTTTTGGGGGTTTTTCACAATTGACAGGAAGGAACATTTTAATAGCAACATTCCTTTCTTGGGCTTTGTCTTGCTGTGAAGGGCAGGCTTTCAGGGCTGTGTAGCACTACAGTGACAAGATAGAAACTGCTCAGAAATAAGCCATGTGCTCTAGAAAAGCTGAGTGTGTGGAAATGTGTGAACAGTTGCTTGGTCTGAATCCAAAGGGACATGAGGTGTAACATTGGTCCATGTTTTCTTTTTAAGCTCAAAGTGAAGCAAGCTGGGGTGAGCATTCAGAAGATTGTACCTGGCCTTCAGACCATGGGCATCTGCTTGGATCAGTACTTCAGGATCGTCCACCCAGAAGTACCCTTCACCATCTCCAGCATTCAGAAATTCATCAACAGCCAATTTGTTTTCCAGACTAGAAGAGAGATGATGCCTGAGTCATGGAAAGAACGGCCAATGCTGGAGCTGAGAGGTACTTCAGTGTTTGCAATAGAATAAGTGCTCGTATTAGATCAGGAATTAGGCTGAGGTGCACTCCTGACCTCCCTCCAGTCCTATAGATAGCCTTTGGGCAGTGAGGAGATTAGATGGGTCTGCTTAGAGAAGCAGTAGATGCTTGTACACAAATTCTGCTATCACCTCACCAGATTTGGAAGGCTTTCAGTCAGAAGCAGCAACTCTGCTCCTATTTGAAAGGCTTAGAAATATGGTGATTTTCTGATGCTGCAAAACCCACATATGAATACATGGTTTGTTCTTAATTTATGCCTTTGAGGGGAGTTATTTGCTGCTGGCTGGGTTTCCAGTGTGATTAAAAATAGATTAGTTCTCTGTGCTTTTATTTTTTGTAGCACATTTTCAGGTTCTGTCTTCACACACCCCCCCAAAGCCACGTAAGAGAGTTTACCAGTTAAAATTATCTCAGCAAAAGAGATATTGTATTTGCTTTATTTTTACTGAGAGGACTGATTATGGGATGATCCTCTGCTTGGTGTAATTAACTATAATGGCATTTGGTTTAATTGTTCTGTGACTTCAGTTTTTCTTTTCTGAACTATGTAATGGGAGCTAATTTTCTCTTGTCTCCTTTCACCTTTATGTAATGAGTGTCAAAATCTTGTTTTCCTGAGATTCAGAAAAAAATTAAGCATTTAGGGACAACCTTGAAAAAAGTAATGCCACCAAAACAAGGAACTTTGACCAGCCATGGGTACAATTGTACTTTCCCTTATCCTCTAGGGGTTAGTTCACATGTATTTCTGATGTTTCAATCCTCTTAGTTTTAAAGCTGTTCATCCAGTAGCCATGGGGATGAGGTGAGGGAGAAAGAAAGAAATAGGAATTCCTATGTTGCTGTTTAGAAAACAATGATACTTATGAAGTAAGATAATAATAACAACAACAACAACAATAACAATAACAATCAGAGTCAAAATCAAACCTCAAGCAAAACCCAAAAAACTAGATTCCCCACCAAAAATCCCTTTTACCTTTCAGGCATTTTTGTAACTGCTTATTTAGATTATGATAGTAACTGAAAGCTTCAATTTCCAGGGAGAAAAGTGCCATTGACTTTACTGGGACACAAACTATGCACTGTAAAATTAAACTTCAAATGCTTTGCTTAATCACTGTGAGTCTCAGTTCCCCAGTGCACAATTCTGACTGACTGGCTTCGGAAACAGTCCAAGAATAGGAGGAGAGGAGGGAAGGATGTGGAGAGGAGCAGAAAGGAGAGGAGAGATGTTGTGAGCACTGAATTTCCTCATTAGGAGGAGGGACTTGAATCCTAGCTGGGCTCTGCCCAGCACCTGCAATGAGGGAATGACTTCTTCCTGGGTTCCAAAATTTTGTTATTGCCTCCTCTGAACAAGTTCACCTCGAATTCCTAGGAAATAGATTCCTGTGACCATCCAGACCCTACAGAAACCCACCGACCTTAGAACTCATCCCCTAGGATTAACTCCAGTAATGCAGAGCACCCTGTGAAAGGCCAGAGTGCTGAAAAGCCTTGCCAACGGCGGTTCCCCACAGGGCAGATGATGTGGATGGAGCCCCTGCAGTGCATGCTGTACCTCTGCTCGCCGTTGCTGCGCACGCTGCACGAGCTGGAGGAGCGGCAGATGCACATCGCCGACATCGCGCCCCACGACGTCACCAGGGACTTGATTCTCCTCAACCAGCAGCGCCTGGCAGAGATGGAGCTCTCCAGCCAGCTGGAGAGGAAGAAGGAAGAGCTGCGCATCCTGTCCAAGCACCTGGAGGAGGAGAAGAAGAAGACTGAGGCTCTGCTCTATGCCATGCTTCCCCAGCACGTGGCCAACCAGCTGAAAGAGGGCAAGCGAGTTGAGGCAGGTGAATGAGCAGGGTGCATTTGGGATGTGTGATCTGTGCAGCAGGGGGTGGGGATGGAGACTGGGGTGCTGGCACAGCCCCTTTGCCACTGCCCTGGAGTCCATTCTCCACTTGGTGACATCCATGCGTAGGAGGAGGATCACAGACCCTAATTTCTCTGATAATAAAAATTAGGCTATTCTTTCAAAGAAAGCTTTGGTAACTCTTTGCTAAAATTTTTCCTTAGGTGGTGAAAGGTGGTAGTGTTGCCCATTCAGTGAACAAAATTCAGTTTTTCAGCAGTAATCTGAGATTTTGGTTTTAACATGGGTATATAGGAGGACGAGGGCTCAGAAATGAAGGGAGTAAAGAAAGTGGTCTTTGCCAGAAAATTCTCCTAGTACCTTTATGCTATTTATAAATGTAGGATTGTGATGATTCCCATTGTTACTAAGGGTAGCAATAATATGCTTAAATTCCCTTTAGTGAGCACATATATGAAATTAGGGATAACGAGTTCAGTATTTCCTGTATATGGTGTATTCACATGTTTGGGTTGTTTCAGATGTGCAATTATTCCTATATTGATACACTCTGACACCTCTCCTTCCTCTCAGCACCCATGTATGATTATTACATATCAGAGGCCACAGAATGGCCTCTGATATGTAATAATCATACATGGGTGTATGATTATTACATATAATAATCAAGCAAGTCTCAAACAGATACTGTGATTGTGCAGCCATTACAAATACCACTGCTCTTTCTGCCCACAGGAGAGTTCAAGGAGTGCACTATATTGTTCAGTGATGTGGTGACCTTTACCAACATCTGTGCCCAGTGTGAGCCTATTCAGATAGTTCTCATGTTAAATTCAATGTACCTGAGGTTTGACAGACTGACCACAGTGCATGATGTGTACAAGGTAGGTACTGATCAAAAAAGGCTGCAGAAATTTTTGCTGGGCTTTTTTTTGTTGTTGTTGTTGTTTGTTTGGGGTTTTGTTTGTTTTGGTTTAAAATCTACTTAAGTCCTTGTCACCACAGCATGATTGTTGATTAAACCATAAAATATGACCTTTTTGTAGTGGCCACACAAACTGAAAAACAGGGAGAAGTGGACATTATTGGATAGGAGCTCAACTTCTATCATAGGCTAAAGCCTCTTTCCACAGTGCTAATGCCAGAATGGCTCTTCTTTCTTATCTCTCTCTCTCCCTCCTTTCTCAAGTGCCTATCCAACATGAATAATTTGCCTAGTTCTTTTATTTGAACCTCTTCTAAATAGTTCACTTTGTCATTGTCTCTTTTGGTGAGAAGTAGCATTATAGACAATAGCCAGACAACAGCTAGACTTCTGTTTCATGGAGATCTTCAGCAATGGTATCCTCTGCTGCCAACCCCACAGAGCATCAATTAGACCTAGACTGTGCATGTGGTCTCCAAACTGTGCTGGAAAGATCAGAGCCCTGGCTGGTCTGTAATAATAGTGTTGCTAACACTTCCAGAGGTACCAGATTTGATGTGCTGAAGAACAGTTCCTAAGTTTCTGTCTGTCCTCAGCTCATGAAATATTTAGGAAGGCAGAAATAGTAAAGAGTGAAATCCAAATCTCATTTATTCTTTGCTCAGGCAAGGCTTGCAGTTCATCCCACAGCAAATTGTACTGGGAAATCAGAAGCATTTCTTCCTTGGCAAGGAATCTGTATTCAATAATTGAAGAATTCAGGATATGGCCCACAGATTTCAGGATGAATTAGCATCAAATTCTATCTAAATCATCCATCATAAGTAAATGATATGTCACTATAATAATCTCCTTTTGAAGCCTGTATATAACTCCTATTAATATTGGAGGAAGTTACGGGGTACAGAGAGCAAGGATGAGATTACTATTGCAGGGAACTGGGAAAGCAATGAAATAGTGACATTGATCAAAGAAACTTGGCCCAAGCTTATAAACATCTGAAGTTATGAATAAATCTTTTTAAATTAAATCTTCTACTATGGCTGAAAAATAATTAGGGTATCTATTTGCATTAGCAGCTTTTTACAGTTGTTTTTAATTTGTTACAGAAAACTACTGGCATCACTGTGGGTTTGGCTGTCTGATAGAAGGCATGGACAGGAACACATTCTTTGAGATTGAAGTGCTGAACTGTTTTAAGTCATCGTGTTAATGAACAAACCCAAATATTATGTTTCCACCCTCCTATTGGTGTTAATATTTAAGAAAGTCTAATTTAGTCTAATCTAAAAGATCTCTTTTTTACTGATGATAAATGGGCCAGTGGAACCTCATAAGAGCATTTTAGAAAATTTCATTACCGTGTAACAGGCTTTTACAGTGGATTTTGAACATTTAAGAATTTTCTTTTTCAAACAGGTCTGTTCTATTCCCAGCAAAATTTCTGTTACAGGATCAAAATACAAAGCATTTCTCAGGTACTTTAGCATGTATTTCAAAGAGACTGGGTGCCTGAAGGAGGACAAACCCTTCAGCATTTGTCTCACAGGCTGCAGCTGTTGTGGGAAAACAGCTGGTTGTAAGGAAGGATGTTCCCAAATTGTTTAGCTCACATTGTGTTCTGTGAGATTCTGGAGACTGGAGGTTCCTTAATTTTGTGTGAACCCCTTAATCATAATCAACAGTGAATGGGCACCCTTGCTTTCTTGTGACTATTAAAAAATAAATCTCTCTCAAACAAGAAATACGCTTTTAGCACCAATTGTGAATGACACTAATTAACAGCACTCATCTGCCAGGTGACCTCCTGGCTCAGGAGGCTGTGCCTCGGGCTGGCTCTTTGCATAGACCCAGCTCTGCCCTGGGTACGGGGAAGGCAAACAGTCTGCACTGTTGCAGCCTTTCTTGCAGCCCTTCCTCCTTAGGGTCTCTCACACTGATATCTAAAGTGGGTCAAGTGAGCAGGGACAGAATGCGATGGAATTTTTAGCGTGAAGTGAAGCAAAGGACCTCCATCTCAAGGAAACTCATGTGTGCTAAAGCTTTTCAGTGACTGGAAGCATCTTTTAAGAGAAAGGGGCAGTTGGTGCAGATGAGAAGAGCCCTGAAGAGCAAACCACTAACCTGAGTGAGGTGCAGCTGGCATGCTCATGTGCTTGTCCCTCTCAATTAAAGGTGGAGACGATTGGAGATGCCTACATGGTGGTGGGGGGGGTCCCTGTGCCTGTACCCACTCACGCAGAGCGAGTTGCTAATTTTGCCTTGGGCATGATAATGGCAGCCAAAGGAGTACAGAACCCAGTTTCTGGAAATCCTATCCAAGTAAGTTAACACAAAGGTGCATGTGTGTCTGTCTGCTTCTTGTGCTGAGCTTCTGCTTAATGTATTGCAGCAGCACCTCAAAGAGCTGCTTCTGACTCCTCTTTGGCTCTGGGCAAGGCCCATGTGGGCACATTTCCATGAGGAGCCTCTCCCTGTGGATATTTGATATATTCTGGCGTCCAGTGTTTTGTTGAGATGAACTTTTCGGTGGCTGGATAGCATTAAGAAAGATGTTAAATAACAAGTGACATTTCTGGGGGGTGTTTTATCTTTGTAAAGATTCGAGTTGGGATCCATACAGGTCCTGTCCTGGCGGGGGTTGTTGGAGAAAAGATGCCTCGTTACTGCTTGTTTGGGGACACGGTGAACATCGCCTCCCGGATGGAGAGCCACGGCGTCCCCAGCAAAATCCACCTCAGCTCCAGTGCCTACCAGTGAGTAACTGAGGGAAGCCTCACCTGCTCAAATCCACTGCCTTGGCAGCTGCACCTTTCGGTGTGGATGGGGCTTAGTCACTCATTTAAGCAGCTTGTAAAGGGAAGTCACTGCTTGTAAAGAGTCTTATTTTTTTCCTAGTTATTCCAAATGTACTTAATATATAGGAGCAGAGGTTTGAGAGGGCAAAATATTAAAAAAAAAACAACTGTCATGACTTACTTGGAAATACTGATAAATTGATGTAGGTGCTAGAAAGACAGTCAGAACATCTAGAACATAACAAAAGGCTTAAAATCTCTCTGAGCACCATAATTTGTAGTGAAACATTCATTTACACTTACTAAAGATTAATTGCATAAACAGCTATCCTCTTCATGCTGTAATTTACTTTACTTTTTGTAATTTACTTTTTTTACAAACACATGTTTGTAAAAAATTAATTCTACGTTTCCAAGAACTTTATGTATGCATAAAATCTGAATGCAACAGTGGAAGCAAAGACAAACTGCAAAAGAAGGAGTACAACAACATTGTCTGGGCACATAGGAATGATGTTGGGAAAATGAGAACTCAGCTGGCACTGAAATGGGAAACAAAGTTCAAAGGCAGTCAGAGGAGCTGTGCAATGTTAGAACATAAATAGAAACATGGACCTGCTGTGGCAGGTGATTTAGTGACAGTGCCCTGAAGAAAGGCTGAGTTACTCAAGGCCTCTCTTGCTTTGGTCTTCACTGATGAGTTCTTCAAGGTCCCTGCACCAAGGTCAGGGTTCAAGGAGCAGGTGAACTATGAGTACTGGAAGAGGATCAGAGCAGGGATCTTTTGAGACATCTCAATCTACAGAAATGCATGGGAGCAGCAGGGATCTGAGGTGATGAGAGCTGGGTGGTGGCACTGCAGAGCTGCTGGCTGTCAGCACCGTAGCAGCTGAAGAAAGCTACAGCTGTATGGAAAAATGGCAAGGGGACGTGGGGAAACTGCAGGCTGATCAGCCTCGTGTCAGTCCCAGAGCAAATCAAATGGTCATTTTTGGACACATGAAAAAGGCAGTTGGGAATAGCAAATCTGGATGTAAAATAAATTAGTTAATCATGCTTGACAGACCTGATTGCCTTCTCTGATGAAATGACTGGGGATAATTCTGTCTAGCTGATATTGGCTACCTCAGTTCTTAATTTCTATTTACTGGTAAGTAAGAGCCCTCCACCCTACCAAAGTATTTGACTATGTGATCCATTAATTTTTGATCAGGCTGTATGTGTAATGCTATGAAAGCACAGCAGGCTTGAATAAACAGTTGAAACAAATCCTCAGTTGTTCACAAATTGAGACTCTTTTCCCCAGACTGTTATGATTTGATCACTCAGCTCTTTGAAAACATCAGTGTCATTTTTGCTTGTCTTGAATTTTCATGTGTCATTTTGCTTCTGATACTTTAGGTGCCTAAAATACAAGAATTTTGAGATTACTGAAAGAGGAGAAATAGAAGTAAAAGGCAAAGGGAAAATGCACACCTACTTCCTCATTAGAAATAAATCTGCAACTGAGAATGAGATTATGGGAAGGCCAATGAAAGACTTAGATTCTGGCCATGAATCCGTTCAGTCCTTTCCAGAAGGCAAGATTGAAACTGTACCAAGTTCTCATCAGCCAGGTAGAGTCAACTCAACACATATTTTCCTCCTTGAACAAATGAACATTAATACAATCCAATTAAATGTCCTTTTGTGTTCTTCTTTCAGCTACTCAGACCCAGCAAAAGAAGGACCAGACCCCAGCTATTGCAATGAAGTATGTTGATGGCCCCACGGATGCACAAAACAGCCTCAAAAGGAGAAACCAGATGAAAGCTGGAGATTTAACAGGTAGTTATTTAGTTACCATGTCACAAAGATGACAGAACTAGAAAGTAACTGAGGCTTAATCTTGCAAGTTCTTTACATTAATCTTCTAAATAACCATAGTTTGTCAAGCCAGACATTCATGCCAACATGTACACATTATCCTTCCGCACAATCCTTAGGGCCAGACAACTTTCACCTTTGGAGCAATCCCAGGTGTTGGTTGGCACTAGTGAGAAAGAAGCTGACAGAGCTGTCAAACCCCAGAGCCCTTCTGGGAGCGCAGATAGAATGGATAAATGTTAGACATCTCTTCACAGGGACAGACCCATGGAGTGTTCATGTACACATCTTTTCCTAGGAAAGATGTAGTTATGGGGAAGCCTTACCAACTCAAGAGAGACCCCAGTCCTGCCTGCTGCAGGAGTCAGAAGGATTTATTGCCATGCTTATGTTCTGTGACCAAAGTTCATTGTCCTTTGAAGTAGCTGATACTGAGATAACAGATTTGATGCCATAACAACCTAATCTAATGCAGCAAGTCTTGTAGTTCTATTTGTGTGTTTTGTGGATTTTAAACAGACTAAATATGTTGTCACTAATTACTGGAAAATATTTTACTGCCTTCCCTCCCACCTGCTTAGATGTGGTGGTTAATCTAGTATGTGGTGTGCTGACAAACAGAAACCTCTCTGGTCCTTAAAAACTCACCGTGCAGGAGTATTTCCTTTCAGGCAAAACTTGTGATTCCAAAAGCGATGGGAGTCTCCATGGCAACCAGCATGCAGATGATGGTCCTCGTCCTCCAAACCAGGGAAGAGTCAAACCTGCTGCTGAAGAGCCACAGAATAGAAATGTTCGCTCTAATTTTTGCACTTTACTCTAAGTTTCTTACTTTTACATTAAACAGAGAAATTTTATTATGATTTTGTGCATTTTGCTGTTATGGGACTGATTTTGTATATGAGTACCACATGATTTTGTAAAAAACAAAAGAAGAAAAAAGACATTTCATCACAGTTTTCAGTAAAAATAAAGCAGTGGAGGAAATTTTTGTAATCCATCTACATGGGCCGTACAATACTTCCAGTCGAGAAAGAAACCCTTGCAGGATGCTTTGAAGATGCATTTTCAGCCTGTGCCACATCTTTGAATATCCTTGTGTAAAAATCATGTGTTGGTATCTGGTGCAGCAATTGAGAAAGAGGTGACTCATCCAGCTAGAAATATTCCTACTCAAATGAGCACTTGCCATAAAAGAAACATTCCCTGAAGTGACCATCTGTCTTGACTCCAGCACAGCCAACAACTTCCCCATGTATGGTTAGCAGCATTCCACCTGTGTTTTAACTGCAAACAGCTTAATTTCTCGACTAATCTTTGGTTGTGTAAAGGCATTAGGAAGTAGAAGTGCAGAATGATCTAAAACAACGTGTATTTTTGCATCCTGAAGAGAGAATAATGTGTACTTGATAGCAGCCAACAGAAGAAAAGAGCACCTGTGCTCTCTGAACCAGCCATACATACTGTGCACAGAAGGACATGGAAATGGTGGAGCGACAGAGCATCAGATTTGTCACAGTGCTGAAGGACTGTTCAAGGCCTGCAACCTATTTGAGACCTTCAAATGAGTTTCAAGTTTATTTTTCATTTTTGTCACCCCAGCTGGACAGAAAAAAAAAAACAAAACAAAAAAACCAAAAAAAAAACAAACAAAAAAAAAAAACAACAAAAAACAAAAAAAATAAAGGACTGCAGAAGGAGACTGTCCGTGCTGGAATTAATGTTGCTAGCATCATTGAAAACAACAGCTTGAGAGATCAGCATTACCTGAGCATTATCAGAGGGTGCCCAACTGGAATACTTCTGTGCTAATATATTCTTAGACTGGGCTTGATCAGAAATGGGAGAGAAAAATTGAAGCTCATTTGTCAGGTATCTCAGAGAGAGGAGCAAAAATACAGTGGATATAAAGGTTATAGACAATTTGGTGCATCATAAATTGTGCTCTCACTCCTATAAATGGAGCTTGGAATAGGTGGGTGACTTTGACAGAAGATGTGCCCTGCACACTGATTTATTACCTTTGGCTGTGGATTCATTGACTAAGGATGCAGGCATGAGACCAATGTGAACTCTGGGCAAGAACTCACTGGAGGAGGTGATAAAGTTACTCCTCTCTGACAGTCTGGAGCATCACATTTCCACCTCTGTGTCTGCAGCAAGAGCAAGGCTCTTTAAGCACCAGACAGAGAGCCAAGACTGATGAAAGGCATCTCCTCCTCTTTATAGTATAGCCAGATGAAATTTCACCTGGTTGGATTTTTTTTTCCAAATCTCTGAGCTGGGCAGCTCAGTCTAGAGGAACAATTAGTGCAATTAGAGCAGCAGAGGAGGATGCACAGAGTGAAGCCATCGGTGCTGTTCTCCACTGAAGAGGTGTTCCAGGGGTTTGCCAGGTGTGGTCCTGTGCAATGAATGCCTGTTAGCTTTTGGAGCACCTCATAAGCACATGCTCTGGCTCAGCTTCCTCCAGAAGAGATCCATTGAACACTTGCTTTGCTTAAATTTGCCCTTCTTGCTCTGAGCAATCTCTGGGTGATTAATATTGGGATGTTTTAATTGCCAGTAAGTGCTCCATGGTAAGTTCCTTCATGCTGTCCTGTGGTACAAATGGTGTGCTCAGTGGTTTCTCTGTGGCAGCTGCTGCAATCTGGTCCTCCTGGAGGTGCAGAGCTGGGTCAAATCTGCACAACTGCTTCTAAAAATTAATGTGCCTGTGCATCATCCTGTGTTCTTAAATCTGTAGGCACTTCTAAAGAATGCAAAAATATAATTCAAAAATAAATCTTTTCATTAATATACCGGCTGCCATTTGTCAGTGATTCCTTTGGTTCCTGTCCCTCTTTTCCTTTCCACCTTTTCTCTTCTCCTTTTCCTCTAGGCCTACAAAAGTGCTCAGTCTTTGTGTCAGTCACATACCTACAGTGAATTGACACAAAAAGGGTGGGAGAAGGAAATTCCCACTGCTGCTTCATGGAAGCTGAGGCTTAGAAAAATTAAGAAGTTGAGACTTTTGAAAGCTTTCTAAAGCATATGGATTCCCAAATCCCATTAAATCTGGTGTTACAACCTTAACTGTAAAAGTTTGGGTACCTTAAAGGTCCAGGGGCCAGATTTTTCAAAGACTTTTGTTACTTTCCTGAGGGAAACAACTGAATTTAGGTGCTTAATTGAACACATATGCAGTGTTTAATTCCCACAAACGATGCTTTCCTTAAAACATTTCTAAAACCTTCCCTGTAAAGCCTTCTGACATGGGCTGTTTCCAAACTGGAACCTCGTTTGCATTAATTCATTACTTCTGACATTACAATGCAACACTGTATGGATCCAAGCTGAACATAAATATACACAAATAAAATAGCAGTGAAATTGAAATTATTACTGCAATGGTGAAAATACATTAAAACGACACTTGAATATAAAAACTGTGGTGAAATTCAAAATGAAAAAAAGAAACACAGTATTTCATAGTAGTATACATCATGGAAAATCCAGAGGGTTTTTTTTTTTTTTTCTAGTAAGTCTCTGCTTCCACCTTAGAAAACTCAAGACTTTAAGAGCAGACAATGAGATGAAAATCTTCCTTAAGGTTATCTGTACAAACATCTACTATTCATGTATTCTTTATACAATATTCAATCATCAGTGCTTCCTGTACAGAAAGAAATAGCAGTGTGCAGTATTTTGTTTCCATAAATAGTTGTAATCAAAATAAACACAGGGAATGTTATCTTCACTTGTATGATTAAACTAACAAGCACTGCTCATTTTTTGCAAGCTGTCTGTAGTTCTATCTCGCAGTTATGTTGTACTTGCTTGCTGAATTTCTGCTAATGATTTTTAGTCTGAGCTGTGCTGAGAAGCCAGTCCTAAAAAATTCTGATATTCACAGTTCTTCCTGTTTTGACTTGGTGTCCAGCCTTTAGTCTCCAGCTGGATGAGCACACCATGTGAGAAGCAGATCTCTAGTCTCACTTTCATAGCGATAAGTACTTCCTCTGTGCTCTGTTAGAAGTGAACCCCAAAAGGACATGCCAAGCTTTGCAGAAATTCAGGGCAACATTAACTGACTCTGTAATACCTCCTTAACTTTGCTGTGTTAGTGAAGCTTGAAAGTTTTACCTACAGAGAAAACCTCACAGGCTCTTTGATAGTTCTTATTTTGTCATTTGCATCAGACACCTTTCTGTCAAGGGAATCGGCAAACACAAGTGGTGACACGGTTTCTGCTTTTTGCGACAAACACAGCAAACCCAGCTTCAGCACCCTGTTCTCATCAGTCCTGAGGTAAGGGCTCCTTGAACACATTGCACAGGAGCACTTTGTGCAGGCACCTTTGCTTTGTGTGGTTTCATCACAGTGTCTGGGCTTCCAGCTGGCTTTGTTTGGCTCCCATTTCCGTGCTGAACATCAGGCCAGTGACCCAAAACGCGGCTGGGTGATGCTCTGTGGGCATCCTGCCACAACGTTTTGCAGGAGGGGAACCTGACACACAGCTATCATTTAAGGCCAATTGATCTCAGGAATCAGTGGGCCTTTAAAAATTCACCAGCTCACATATTCTTTTCAGTGATGGTCATCAGATGTTTCGTGCTCTGATTTTGTGGGCTTTTGAGAGAACCTTGCTTTTCAGCAAATGATGACATATCTGTTGGTAAGAGGAAACTCACAGCCTTCACTTTACCCCTGGAGAAAAAATGAGAAATCATTATGAGGATAACAAATGTATAAAACATGCAGAGAAAGTAAAAAAAAAAACCCAAAACACCAACCCAGCAAGGAAAAAGTAAATGCTTTCAAGTCTTGCATGCTGCTGGAGGCAGGATGTCATGCCATTCACATGGCCATCCCAAAGGACCAAGCACAGTGCTCTCTGCTGGAAGCATCTGCCTTTTCCCATCGAGTCTCACATCTCCCTGTCAGAGCCTGGCCTGTCTGTCCAAAGCTGTGTGTGCACAGAACCCTGGGGGTGCATGTGCACCCACAGAGACCCTTCAGTAATTTTAGTATAATAGCCCTGGAAAGAGTTCTCAGCCTCTCTTATCCTGTATTTAAATATTGAATCATTTTTTTCATTTACCAAACACAGTGGGAATCCCTTGGTAGAAATAATACTTTAGCATATATGAATTAAAAGATTTTAGACATGCAAATTAGAGATGATTTGTTAGCAGTGCTGGTTTTTTATTACTTGGGTGCAATGGCACTCTAAAAATTCAAGGTGATACTTCTAGAGAGTTAATTTTAAAGCAAAAATATTCATATCACATACAGGATTATAGCTTTGGAGCAAAATGTGAGGAAGCCACAATAAACTAAGAATAGGAAAACCTGACATGAAGCAGCATGCTGGAAAGCAAAAATGTCATCCTTGTAAAAAATTAAGCTTAATAAGCCTGCTGAACTAATTGCTAGAAATTACCTTACTGGTGAAAAGCTAAGATGAGTGTCTGTGTCAGATACGTGAGTATATTATGGAGCAGCCACTATTAAGACCATAAAAGATACTGAATTTTTTTGGGTGTAAGAAGCACAAAGCTTCAGGATGTCACCCAGCCTGCCGAGGGGGTGAGGTGAAGAGCTCTTCCCACAGCCACTTCTCCTCGCGAAGCAGCCAGCAGTGAGTGCCCGTGAGTCAGTGCTCAGCTCCACAGGCAGCTCAGATAAAACATCATTGCTGTCTTTGGCCACGGGCGCCGGCAGCTCCCCAGGCACTCCGTGTAACAGATCTGTGCTGCTGCTTTCATTGCTCTGGAAGCTCTTTCTCCTCGTGAGCAAGCAGCAGTGTTTGCCACTGCCATCCCACGCACACCTCCCAGGTGAGCTGGCTCCAGGGCAAGCCCCCAAAGGGTCCATGTGCACCCGGAGTGTCCCTGGGGCCAGCGGGGGTGCACAGAAACCCAGAGTTACAGGGTCAGGGTGCTTTGCAAAATGATACCAGCGACTACATTTAGGTGTCCAGCTGCTGTAAAATGCCTGACCCTGAAATGTCCTTTCAAGAAAACCCAGGTGCCTCTGAAGGCTTGACTTTGTCCCCTGCAGCCTCTCAGAGAGGAGCTGGGCCCCAAATTGGCTTTGCACAGGGCGTGCAAGGCGCTGGGCACGGAGGATTTAAGGGGACAGAATAAAAGCTGTTGTGCTGTGCCATGCACAGGTACCTCCACACAGGTGACACAAGCCACAGCAGCTGCCAGCCCCCGGGGTGGCCGCTGGAGTCCTGTCCCAGCACATGCATGGGCAGGCATAGCCTCGGACTTGTCCCTGCTCAAACTCCTGCTTTGAGGGCATGCGGGTGATTGTCCTTTTGAGCGCAGCATGATTGGGCTGAAGCCAGGATCAACATGAATTCCCAAGGTGGGTATGTCAGCAACAGGATGTGGCTGGGCCATCATATGTCACATTCTCACTACTGCTGGTTCCACCTGTGGTGGTTGTCCTGTGCTGGAAAGCTTCTCATCAATGAGCAGAGACACTCAGGGCTGGTCCAGCAGCCATTTCACTTAATTTAGAAGCTGCCCTCAGATTACTTTTTTCAAGGCTGAAAGCATTAGCTTGTAATGCTTCAGTTACAGGGGAAATATGATACAATACATCTAAATTCATGAACCACAGTAATCACACTTCTAAAGGCACAGTGCAGAGTTCCTTGGTATTTCTGTGCCTTTTGTTCAAAGTTTAAAAATCCCTTTCAAGCTTAGCTTGTCAGAACATCAGTTCAATCTGCAAAACTCTGCCTGGCTTTAACAGAGCAAAGATTTCTACCCCCTTCTCTCTCCCTCAGCCTCTCCTTTCTGTAATAAATTTAACCAGCTACCCCTGCCAAAACTCATGCAGTGCAGGGAGGAGCACAGTTTCCTCCAGAGGGGTCTCCAGTCTGCTCAGGGCCCGTACACATTCAAACAACTGTTTTGCTGATAACATACTAAAACCCAGAGCAAAGTCCATGTATCTAGTTAGGTGAAACCTGTGAGCAGCCCAGGCAGGTGGTGCTGAGAAGGCAAACCAAACCTACTGGCACTTATAGACGTGCTCCTGAAACAGCTTCATGTTGCTGGAGTGGCTGGAGGAGGGACAACGGGCTGGTGATTTTCCAAGCCCTTCCTCCTCTTCCCTGCTGAGCTGTGCTGCTGCAGGAGGGGCTGGTGGCTGGGCACTGCCTGGCACCTCCGGGAGCCCAGTGCTTTTCGTGCCAGCCCAGTGGGCCCTTGTGCTGGAAGGAGCGGGAGCTGGGGAGGCGGTGGGGTAGCGTCTCACAGTCATGGCAGTATCTGAGGAGCAGAGAAAAAAACAGGGATAAAAACAATATTAATACTATTAATAATAATGACAATTCAGATTTCCTCAGTGTATTTTTGGACATTTTACACGGGCAGATAGTGCTAGAACAAGGGGTAGCAGTTTTAAGCTAAAAGAGTCGACATGAGATTTTAGGAGGTGAGGCACTGGCACAGGTTGCCCAGAGAAGTTGTGGATGCTCCAACCCTGGAAGTATTCCAGACCAGGATGGATGAGCCTTTGAGCAACCTGGTGTGGTGGAAGGTGTCCCTGCCAATAGCAGGGGAGTTAGAACTAGATGATATTTAAGGTCCCTTCCAACCCCAAATGATCTACCATTCTATTTTAAATCACTTTTTTTGAGGCTCAAAACCATTTTGTATGTGGTGAAGCTGAGAGGCAGAGGAGGCCAGACAGTCCCTTTAGATCCCACTCTTTGCCCTGGAATGCAGCTGGAGAGGAAGAGCCACGGGGTTAGAAAGCACTTTCCACAGCTTTCCCCTTGCTGGAGCTGTTCCCAAACTGATGACATCCCTAGCACCAGCAGCTCCTGCCTGGGGCCTTCAGGCTGGTAACCTGGCCACTGGGTCAGTGGGATTGGTAACAACCACTATTCATCACCTGGCTGCATGAAAATCCACCCGTGCTGCTCAGCCCTTCATCTTATTCCATCACACAGATTTGTCTTCATGAAAACTTGTGGGGCCATTTCTCTAATACTTCTCACCAAGCCACATTTTGCTCTGATTCCTGCTTCATTCCTGCATCTTCATCCCGCTTTAATTCCTCTAGAAGTCCCAACCAGACTTCTATAACTGAGGAATATTTCCATTTTTCTCCTCTGATAAAATTTTGAGGAGAATGTATTCCTTTATATTGACCCCTCTCAGCCTCAACAAGGACAAAACGCGTTGTCTGCAAAAATAAACTGCACATCTGGCGTGATGTATGCAGCCAACCCGTTATTTTTTGTAGCATTTTTCTCATCTTTGACTAAGGCAGGATGGGTAATGGCATGGGTAAGAGTGTTGGCCCTTTTCTGCCTAGAACAGAGAGGGGAGAGGCATGTGGAGGAGAGTCCATGCCTGCAAAAACCCAAAGCAGAAAGTCAAATTCTGCTTAAGCAAACTGAACACTTTGCTTTGAATCCTTTGTTTGAGCAGCAGCAAAATACTCCACCGAGCTCAGCTAGGGGGGGACGCACCCTGAAAAGCCCCAGAGCAAGGCATGCAGCGCTGTGGGTTTGGTGTGAGCAGAGAATGGGGCCAGGGCACGTCCATGGAGTCCAGCAGAAGGCAGCTGGCAGCTCATTCCCTTCCCTGCGGGCCGGCACACGCTGCCCGGTACCTGTCTGCTCCCTCGGCGCTGCAGCGGCCGCGGCGCCTCCCTGCAGGGATGCCGGGGATGCTGGAGATGCCGGGGATGTCGGGGATGCCGGAGATGCCGGGGATGCTGGAGATGCCGGGGGTGCTGGAGATGCCGGGGATGCTGGAGACGCCGGGGATGCCGGGGATGGCCCCGGTCCCTCCGCACCAGGAGCGGGCTCCCATCTCCCCGCACCGCCGCTCGCGTCTCCCCGCGCCGGCAGCGCCGTGCGCCCGCAGCCCCGCAGCTCTCCCTTCAGGGCCCTGTTCTCCCTCTCCAGCTTGTTGATTTGGGAACGCATCTTGCGGATGAGCTGCAGGAGGTGCGCGTTGCCCTCCATCTCCCCTGCCTGCGGAGCCGCTCCTGCCCTGCCCTTTAAAGCCCGGGACAGCGGGAGCCCGGCCCCGCGCGGGTCGGGGGCCGGCCCTGGAGGGCTGGCCCGAGCTGTGCAGGTGCCGAGACAGGACCATCATTTATTTATTCATGCGGGGGCTCGCCTTCCAGAGCAGAGCTGGCCTCCCCGCCGCACGAACCGCTGCCCAGGAGAAACCCGCCCGCCCCTCGCCTGCCTCTTGGTTTTCTCCTCACTGCTGAGGAGGACAGAGCCCATTTCCTTTGGTTTGCCCCAAAAGCCCAATGATCATCTCCATGGCACAGAGAGAGAGAGTCACCCTTTGCTGGGCAGCAATTCATCTCTTCCTTAACATGGGGCGAGTTACACTCTTTTGTTCTGTGTATCTGGAATTTCAATTCCAGAATTGGTAATTTCTCTCAGGAAAGTTAAATTTCTAAATGAAAGCTGATACAGCGCAAGAACCCTGCTATTAACAGCACACACCAGCAGCTGTGATGGACAAGCAGGTACACCAAAGCTCTTCTGGAAGGCTGCAGCAGAGCCTGGGCCCTCTCTGGGCACCCAGGGGTGTAATGAGAGACAGACCAGGCATGATTCTTGCATTAGCAAGAGAAACACAATCCCCAGCATTTCTGTCATCACCTAGTCCCTAAAGCCACCTTTCTTCTGGCAGTAAGATGCAAAAACCTGTGGAGCAGTCTTCCCACTCCCCAAATTTTGCTTCAAAATACAGAGCTGAGAATGTCAGAAAGTCAACAGGGAAATAACTTAGCACACCTTTTGCTTTGAGGTCCTTCACTTCCCTATAGCTCAACAGTGTCTCAGAAATAACTGAGAGAGAGAAAAAAAAAAAAAAAACATTTAATCTGTGTGCATTTCCCCACTCTGCTGCTGGAGGCTGCGGGAAGAAAGGAAAACTGTTGTGAGATGCTTCAAACATGAGATGACTCAGTCTGTTTTTCCAGAGGTGTCAGAAGGGCTGTGTGTCTATGGGGAGTGCTGCTGGCCAGCATCAGCCCTGCTGTCACCTCCTGGGAATCTCTCCAGAGGTTCCTGCCTGGTTCAGGCTGCAGGCAGAGAGGTGAAACAAATGTGAGTTCTCAGATGAAGCCCACAGCACCCATTAATTTTTCTCCGGCTTGGAGCCAGCCTGAAATAACAGTGTAGGTGCCCCTGTGCTGGGGATAACATGTGGGGAACATTATGGGTCTATTTCTCCAGCAAGCAGATCAGGCGCTGGAGCAGTGACAGCACCCACAGTGTGTAATTATAATATTGCTGCTGACCCTGCAGCTGGCAGGTTTGGCTGGGCAGGGGACACTTACCAGCTCAGCAATTAGCTTATCCCAGCTGTAGCTGCAGACATCTGCTCCTCTCATCCCATGCCTGCTGCTCCTCTGGAAGCAGACTGGAGCAGGCACAGACCTTTTGATGCATCAGAAAGCTCTGAGGAAATAACTTTTGTCTTGTAACCCTGTGCAGCTGGCCTTGCTGAAAGGGCCAGATGACTCGGGAGTTTTGGACAGTGAAAACCTGGCAAAGCTGCCTTTGGCACTGGGCTGACCAGTGTGTTCCCTGAATGGAGAAAGAGCTCCATGCACCCAACCTTGATTTTTGTAGATTCTGTGGGGTCCAAGACGTGTGCTTACCATGCCAGCTCCTGGGTGCTGCAGGGAAACATGCTTGGTGCCTCTTAGCTGTGGTGCACTTGCAGGCTGCAGATTTTGGTGAGAGTATCTTCAGTGAGCCTTCCTGAGCCTACTGCAGACACCTAGAACTGTGTGGGTTTTGCTATGAAACACCTCAGCTTTAACAGAAGGGGAAATTTCTCACACCTGAGATGCTATGGCAAGTTGTCCCTGGTAGGATACGGACCCAGATAAAGTAGTTTTCACCCCCAGTCATATCCAAAGCTCTCGGCTAGGAGCCCCCTAGCAATATGTCTGTGTGGCTGCTGGTGCATGTGCTCCATCTCAGTGGATTGCACAAACTGCATACCAAATCATACTGCAGCAGAAAACCTGCAAACAGAACACAGAAACCTTGTGGAGCATCTTCATCCAAAGCAAGGGGAGCTCAGCTCTTTGTTCTGCCCCTGCACAGCAGGGTGACATGCAGCAGCTGTGTGTGCATGGGAACATGCAGCAGCTGTGTGTGCATGGGGACATGCAGCAGCTGTGTGCGCATGGCTGCTCAGGGGCTCCCTGGGGAAGGGCTGCACTGAGAGCTGGAAAGGGACAGTGTGACAACTGCCACCAGCAGGAAACAGCACCTGCACAGCCAGCACCACTGCTGAACAGTTTTTGTAGCTGTCTTACTTGCCAAATCCCTCTTGCTCCCCTGAGGTTAGTGAGACAAAAAACCAAAAAGGACTCATTGCTACTCTAGTATGATGATTTTGTTTTTTAGCATACCACAACATTTTGTCCTGGAAAATCCATCAGCAGCAGGCGTGTGGATGTTTTCTGCGACGTGCTGCAGCTGGAAGTGTGTCCTGCCTCCCAGTGGCACAGGAGTCCCGGTGCAAAAAGAGACAGCCTCCCTTTTCTGGGGCTAAACCCGACCAACAGAGCACAAGTGCTGGCATTGCACCTCCAGCCCCGCTGGAGAGGATGGGGGAGAAGCACAGCAGCCCACCTGCCCCAACAGGACATCTTGGGGAATAGAACAGCTCACAGCTCCATCATCCCAGCAGCAAACCTGAAGCCCACATTTCTGTCAGGGCTGGAGTCTCTGGGAAGGTTTGCTGCTAATGAGCCTTGAATGTCAGCAGCACTGGATAAAAAATTATCACAGTGTCCTATAAAACATTACCAGGCAAAAGTGTAACAGCTCTGCTCGGGGTCAGTGCCAACCCTTCAAATTCTCAATGTGCAAGAACATTGCTGTGCCCTGAGTCCTTGCTTGTTTCTGACTTTGACATAATTTATGCTTCATTGTGGTGCAAAAGAGACTGATTCTCTTCTGAATCTGGCTGTACCACTTAAGAAGGTAAAAAATATGTCAATAGATTAAAAAATTAACAAGAAGATTTTTTTTGTGTGTGTGCTGATTCTGTTTTGCTGATACACTTCTGATAATTTTCCTTCTGTACATCCAAAAGGACTTAGTGGGTTTAATGTCCAAATTTGATCCCATATTGGCCCTCTCTCAGTGGCTTCTCCATTTAAATGGTAAAGTAAGAGGTAAACAGTAAATTTAAGAAGAAAACATATTTTTTCCCAATTTTCATTCCTCCTCTTTTATTCTTCTCAAAGTTGAGACATTTAGACCTTTATGCCTTTAAATTATTCCTATGCTTTACTTGGCCTAACCCATTGCCTGAGGCTCAGCAGTAGATTTAAGATTGATGCTCAACTTGAATGTATTTTCTTCTGAAAAAGAAGAAAATAGCTCAAATAGCAGCTTGAATGCAGTGGGACATGCAAGCCTGCAAGGCCCTTCCTCACCTGAGCCCAGCATGCTGGCAGCCACATCAGTGTCCCCACAGGTGCTGCTCTGCCGGGCCAGGTCACATTTTGCTTTGGATGTATTTCACCTCCAAACGCACATCCATGTAAAGAAATGCATCCTTGTGAGAGAAGGATTTGATGAAGTAGATTTTACAGCAGAAATTGGAAGTGTTCTGATAATTGGACAAATGCCCAGTCTCTCAGGTTTGCTGGTCATCTCTGTGTTCAATGCAGTTTCCTGGCCGTGCACTCCCTGGGGAGGGTGCTGCTCCCAGCCCAGCCTCCAGCCTGTGTTCATCCCCAAAAATCCATCCCTGCAGGGCCACTGCTCCTGCCTCGGGCCAGCCTGGGCTCCCTGCCAGAGCTGAGCTGCCACAGTGAAGGCAGGTACAGGAGCTTGTGCCAATGTCTGCAGCAGTGCCTCAGGCAATCAGCTAATTATTCACTGACTAGATTAATTACAGGGCTCTTTGGAGCACCCCCAGTTTTACCTATGGGGGCACCTCCCCCTCCTCTGAGCTGGCACCACTCTGTAGCCAAACAGAGGAACCTGGATGCCCATTTTGGTACATTCCCACAGACACAAATGCCAAAAAAAGTACCCATTCTTATTCCAAAAAGTGTGGCTTTTGGGTCTTACCTGTTGCACGGCTGAAACCTGCTATTCCTAAGTCCCTTCTGAAGGACACGGGGGAGAGCAAAAAAAATGCATTTACTTACTTTTAACAAAAATTACAATATTTATATAATCTCTACCTTTTCAAGAGGCCCATAGAAAGTGGCATGGAGATCTGCAGAACCTGTGTGACGCTGGAGTATCAGCTGTCTCCCTCTGTGTTTGGCTAAATAAAACCTGTACTAGAATTGAAATGAAAACAATATACAGCTCACATTTTGTGTGCAGGTGTTGGGACAGCCGTGTGGAAGGATGCCAGTGCTACCGTGCCAGCAGGCAGGTGTCCCCCAGAAGCACAGCCCGGCTAGGCTGCTTTTCAGGTGCAGAAGGTGCCTGTGCTCAGAGCAGCACTGGCAGAGCTGCCCGAGGCGGGCACGGCGCTCCTGCCCCACAGCTCATCCCTGCCCATAGCACATCCCTGCCCCACAGCACATCCCTGCCCCATAGCACATCCCTGTCCTAGCAGCCCATCCCTGCCCCACAGCCCATCCCTGCCCCGTAGCACATCCCCTGTGCTAGCAGCACATCCCAGCCCCACAGCCCATCCCTGAAATAAAGGGGCACGAGGTCTTTCTCCTTTTTAATGCCTCTATTAAAAAATAATCAGCTCAGGTGGGGAGAAATCGACGGGTCGCGCCCACGCCGCCGCTGCTCCCAGGAGTGGCACGAAGGAGGAGGGTGATGATGCAGCTTTGTCCGCTGGGGATTCCGTCCTCACGAGAGATTAGCAGATTCCATCTTTTCGGTCCAACACCTTGGGTCGCCTCTCTAGTCAACATCTTTTTAGGTTAGGGTGAGAAGCAAACAGGATCCAAGCAGGCACTGCACTACGCTCCCCATCCTTAGACATGACCTAG